ATTCCTCATCATAAGTGAACTGAACAGCTCTCTATTTCTTTGCTTCAAAATCGATGGTACTTCCTTTCTATTAGCTCGAAGTGTTCCCATCATACTTTGTTTTTCTTGGCCAGCATTTTTCCTAATGCTGCCGATGTAAAGAAGTTGTCACTTGAGACATTGTACCCCTTTCCAAATAATGGTGACACCAAGCGCAATACCACGCTCTCTGCAAGACTTTCTCCTATTGACCGAGTTTCGTCTTTCCCGAGATATGGAAATCCATTAACGAGGTACTTGCTGTCTACTTCTGCCAGCATCCAAAACTTGATACCGAACTTATCTGATTTGTTGGGTATGTACTGGAGAAAACGACAACGGGTTTTGGAGGGAAACAATTGCTTATCACCTGTGAGATTCTGCGCAGGCACATAGCATTGTTGAGAGTTGCGAATGAATGCATTCCACAATTCAGATACCAAAGCAAACTTATCAGTTAGCAGTCTTTCACATCGGGTAGTTCGCATGTCAAAACGGAGGAACCTCATTATTTCTTTGAAGCTGTTCTTGCCAGTTGTCTCCGTGAAAATAGGCAGTCCATATCTATCGCACCACATCATATTCAGCGGCATGTTCTTCAGACCCATGAAGCCTCTGATGTAAAGTAGACCAATAAAGGCACGCAGCTCTGGAAGACTTACGCTCCACTGACAACTGACACCTAAAACTCTCTTGGCCTCAGCTTCAGTACATACTTGAATATGTTTCAGCATCTGGGGCGTGATTATGACGTCAAAATTGCTCGACAGCTCACCATATTTCACACATTTCTTAGCATAGGGAGTTGGTCCTGGTCTAGCCTTAAACACATTCTGTGATGGAATCCTACCAACAGTAGATGTTTCGAACTCCACTGCGATCCACGTGCTACCATCTTTCGATACGTGAAGCTCACCGGGAGATACCGAATCGGTTGATACACTCTCTCTAGGGTCCTCATATGGAATGTAATCATCAGACGTTTGACTATCAGACATGCTGTGATCTTCTGCTGACTCATGGAAGATGGAGTCCTCATCAACATCATAATCGTTCTCGTCTCCAGACTCGTTGTCATCGATGGTTGTAAGTTCTCGTAAAACCTCAAAGGCTGTTTTCCTCAGAAGTGCCATTGTGTACAAAAATGTCACTGGAATTTATCTGACTGAACGCACAATATCACAGTAAAATCGTGATTCGGCTAGTTTTCACTCCCGTTTTGACTGCTCCAGTATATAACTGTCTGAAATGATAGTGGTGGCTAAAAATAAAAAGAGGAACCGGATTAAAGAGAAGCGGTAATTTTGACCGCTAACGGGCTTTCTAGGTAGTATGAACACAGCTACCTCTTTTCTCGATAACTATAACAGATATGAAAACGAAAATTCAGAGTAATGAAGAACGTTCAAAAATATTAAAAGTCACGAAATATCTTTGAAAAATGTCCATAAATGTAGAAAATATGCACATTTAAAAACGCTGAGCGGTCCAAATGACCGCTCCGGGCGTTCTAGTGTTAAGACTGCAAATGTGAACTTTCCGTTTATATTGATGATATTTATGGATCGTTCAAGCTAATCGTTACTGCGTTATTAAAAGAAGAAAATACGGGTTAGTAACTGACGAAAACGTAGTCATTTCGCTGCTCGCTTCTGTGTCGTGTAACTGAAATGACTAGTTGGCTTGACGTGTAGTCTCATGAATTTCTAATTGCTTTTGTTCGGAGAAAATGGGTGGAGGAGTATATTAAGTTAACTACACCCTCTGCAGATCATTGACCCGGATGTTATAGCTCAGATATGCTTTCTTCCACAAATTTTACATTTGGTTTGGGAATGATAATAGAGCATAATCTTGCACCAAATCATGTGAAGTCAGTAGTATCCGAGAGCATCATATTAATAATTGTGCGCTACTGAAAGTCGGACGATGAGAGAATTATCTTCCTCTGCTTCAGTTCCTCCCGTTTCTTACAATCAAAATTTAAGCACTAGGAACCAAAAATCAGACCACGACCGGCCGTATTTCTTTACCCCCATCATTTGTCCGCCATTCATTGTGCAGTTAGATGATGAGTCGAGATAACCTGTCCTCATGGCTTGTAGTCTGCAACCATTAGCTTTGGACGTGTGTGAATTCCACACATCCTGTTTTGACATATGGAGCACAGCTACACCTGCTACTAGTGCGTTGATGCAAGCGTCTTCGGGACACACGCGCAACGGGCTTAGAGATTTGTAATAGCTATCAAGATCTCACAGCGTAATCTTGTTAGGAAACCAGGCTACCTAATTGTTAGTGATTGGCACATTGTCCCAACCGTGAGGATGTAACCGCCAATTTGGACTACATTCACTGATGAATAGCAAATCAAGTAAGTGCGTGCATGCATGCATTGCCGCTTTCCAAATCTTCGGCTGTGCTCACATCAAATATACAAGGTACATGAAGGATAAACCGAGTCCACATTTCACGTAGCAGAGAGCTCCGCCCTAGTGTGATCATGTGCATGTGAGTGTGCAATTATAATGCGCTAGTGTTCGGCCGCATCTGTGCTCAGGCTCGTAAATCTGTCCACGGCCAGAATCACACCGGTCAAAGCAAGTGGCGTGCTAACTAATCACATGCAGTGTACAGATCAGTTGTTATGAGCCAAAAGAGGATTTGTAAATTTTCGCTAATTTTTACAAGCTGATTACCGGATTAGGATGGATTCCAAGAAAAATGACTGAAGTTAACAATAAAAACGCTTATTGAAATGTTTTAGTCACTGCCTAATGACATCTAAAACCTCGTGTACTTGTGTGTAGTGTAGCTTAGCATGAAACCTGGATTTTAGTGAGCACTAGCAATTAGAATTACTCGTTTGACCTGCTAGCTGCCTAAGGCAGATAAGTAATAGTCTGTTCACCGAATGTTTAATTAGATTCTGTATTTATCAGTGCCTTAAGTCGTGCTGATACATGCAGCTGTGAAACAAATTTCTGGTTGCAAGAAGGGTTTTATGGTCAACATCCAGTTATTTCGTTAGCGTAATCGTTAGTGTGTACATTGGTGCAAAAGGAGCTGGTTTACTTTCCGTATTTGTTCCGCTCATTGACTTCCTGCTTATAACTTATCAAGCAGAGCGTGGCTATCATAGAGATTGAACAGATAATGCTCTGTTGCATATCATCCTTGAAAATCCCATAAGGGTGTCATCTAACGGTACAGCTCAATTATTCACTAATGAGAGCTACTATTACATATAGTGTGCTTATAAGAAGTTCCTGAAATTGACATGTGCAACACATTCAAGACTGTGGAGACAACCGAATGTCGAATAAATCTTTTTTCTCTCCAAATTAGCGGCCGATTTGCTAGTGTTGAAAGCTTCAGACAAAACACACCTTGTAAGGTACTTCGTTGAATTCATGAATCCACATTACCTGTGCTACGCGGATTATTCTAAATGGCCTGCCGAGGAATATCATGTCGTAATCAAATATGACGCCCTGTCCGACATCATTGACGCAACAATCTGATCGTTCATAGCCGAATTTACCCCTGAGGTGGCCTGCGGAGAATTCATCAACGTATTTAACAAGCTCGTGGCAAGCCCATCTGAAAGCAAAGTTTGCCGGCCTAAAAGGATGTAGTCTTTCATAAGGAGCAAGACACGTAAATACATGGCATTAAGGGACTTGACATGGCACACCTACGTAGCCTCCCCGAACGACGATACCTGGGATTTTACACAATACAAAGAAACCACTGCGTCAAACTCGTCCGGGAGGATAAACTGAGGAACTAACATGGTCTAGTGGATAAATTTTGCTCCAATCCCAAACTGCTATACAGACACGTAAACGATTTTCGCCGTGTTAAGCGCGGTATTCCTGCTCTGCATACAGCATGCGGGTTAGCCCAAACCGCACAAAAGGTGGTAAACACTCTTCGACAACAATTTGGCCGTACATTCCGTAGCGCGCAACCATCATACATCCTGCCTAAACAGATAATACCGCCATCAGGGCTTAATCATATATCGTTTACCTCCGCAGCTGTACTGAAGAGGCTTATGTCTGTGTGCGAGTTCAACTTCCAGGGTGTGGACGGCATTCGACCGAAGGCGTTGAAAGTTGCTGCCGTGAGTGTGGAAGAAGCACTAGCAAGTTTCTTTTAATGATGTCTGAACGACACGCAATTACCCACGATGTGGAAGCACGGAATCATCACGCCCAACTACAAAAGTGGCAGTCGTGCTGAGCCAATAAATTATCACTTGATAACACTACTTCGTGATGTTCAAGGTTATGGAATCTATTGTGGGTGAAGCTTTGATGGGGTACCTGCAGAACAACATCATTCTCGTTCTGGAGCAGCACGGATTTCGCCAAATTCGGTCCTGTACCACTAATCTGTTGATTGCTCGTGCAAGCTGGACGGAATCTGTGGACGCTGGTGTAGGAGTCGACACGGCCTACTTGGATTTCTCAAAGCCATTCGACATTCTAGACCATCGCATTCTCCTCCACAAACTCCATAAATATGGAATCGGCGATTCTGTTCTGGATTGGATAGGAGAATTTCTCGTGCAACGTCAGTTGAATGTGAGGGTTGGAAGCAACCTGTCGGAATCCATCGAAGTTCAGTGCGGCGTACCTCAAGGCTCGATACTTGGATCCCGCCTGTTCCTGGTTATCCTAATTGATATCGCGATCATACTATCTTCCAACTGTTTCCTATTTGCTGACGGTCTAAAGGTATGGCGTACTTTAGTTGCAGTGGAGGATCACAGTTTTACAAGAGGACCTGGACAAAGCGTACACATGGTCCATCGAGAACATGTTGCATTTCAATGTCACCAAGTGCAAAGTTCTCAGCATATGGCACAAAAGTATGCACAGGTACCGCCTTGGACCACAAATTCTGTAAGCGACAATTCGCTTTGAAGGGCCTTGAGCCAACGCGTATCCAGCCAGTCAAAGAACAAGAACACTGGACAAGATGACGGTACTATTAACAAACAATCAGGAAGCAAATATAATACAAACCTCAATAGTTGCGCTTCCACTCAACGCAGTTTCAAAGAAATACAATCCGGTCCGAGACCAACAAGAAAGGGTTCAGATCGTCAATGCGATACGGAATACAGAACACTGGTTATATGGGGCAAGTGAAGTCCATGCGATTGGTCAAACACAGACCGGCTGAAGGCCGGATGCGTGAAATGAGTGTGGGGGGATGATAAGTACATTGCTCATAATCAGTGCGAGAAAGCATGTAAACACCTGTAGCTTGGGCACGTGCGGAGATAATTGAGGTGAAGGTCGTGTTGATAACGCGAAGACAATTGAGGTAAAGGTCGCGCTGATAACGCGATAATTGGGTTAAAGTGCAGTGATATGGCGAAGATAAGAGGGAAGATAATTGCGCTCGGAGTAGTCCACTCTCGATGGTTGACAGATGGCTGAGTTGAACACAAAGCATCAAGAATCCTTCTACACTCCCGCCAAATTTCGGACAGAAATTTCATTTTCGGGATCTTGAGGTACTCTGGTTCACCCTAACCTGCTCCATCCACTATGGAGAAGAGTAGGACTTACAACGGTACGCCTAAACTTCTCCACTTCGGTCTGTTGAACTCACGGTGGTCCTCCCTGAGGCAGCAGGTCCGAAAACCCACCTCCCACTTGCGGTGATTCAACAGCCGGGACTGACCCCTTGCCCCATTCGCTACCTTCGATAAGGCAGATCTTTCTAACGTCGCGCTCAAACACACTCCCTTTTATTCTAACCGACACTGTCCTTACTAGGCCGTCCTCTGAGGTCTTACAACTCTCAACTACTGCCAAAGGCCAACTGTCCCGACAGAGTGAATCCGAAGTAACTAAAACCACGTCTCCAGGCCTAAAATTGCGTTGTACTTTCAGCCACTTTTGCCTCAGGTGCATTAATGTGAGATACTCCTTGCTCCACCGTTTCCAAAATAGTGTTGCAAGGTAGTTAGCTTGCCTCCAACATCGTGTATACCTGTTACAAAGCGTAGCTGGCGCTATTCCCTCTGTATTCGGTCTGAGTAACAGCAGGTCATTAGGCGTGAGAACTGGTTGGTCAAGAGAGTCTGTCGTCAGCGGCGTAAGAGGCCTGCTGTTAATGATGCGCTCTGCTTCGGTGAGAAACGTAGACAGTGTTTCTTCGTTGAGGGTCTGTTCTCCTGCTATGGAAAGCAGCACTCGTCGTACTGATCTGATCATCCTTTCCCATATACCGCCACGGTGACTAGCATGGGGTGGATTAAAATGCCACTGGACCCCTTTGCTTAAGAGCTTGTCGTTTATGTTAGCTTGGGACCAGTTGTTTAACATTTGTCGCAACTCGGCTGCGGCACCAATAAAGTTTGTGCCGTTATCGCTGTATATTTCTTCCGGGGTGCCTCTTCTTGAAATGAACCTCAATAGGCACATAATAAAGGAGTCGGTGGTCAATGAGTGAGAGACCTCGAGATGAACCGCCCTCATTTGTAGACAAGTGAATAGACACCCATAACGTTTTTCTTGCTTTCGACCGTGTTTGATGGGTATAGGACCAAAGTAGTCAATTCCAACATGCTTGAATGGGTGCCATCCCTTATCAACCCTGGCTGCTGGCAACGGTGACATCATCTGTTGACCAGCTGTTGACAACCGTTTCCTACAAATCCAACACTTACCGATCACTCGCTTGACAGCAGATGCCCCTTGTACAATCCAATACTTCCGACGGATGCTTGACAATACTTGAGAGACCCCAGAATGACCCTCAGCGAGGTGATAGAAGTTAATCAGTGTCTCTGTCAATGCATGTTTGGCAGGCAAAATTATTGGATATTTTGCCAAGGAGTCAAAGGCAGAATACGCTAATCTACTGCCGACGCAGAGTATACCATTGTGTAGAATGGGGCACAATCGCTTCAAAGTCCCTTCCACTAGCTTTGTTGCACACGCTCCCTTTCCTACACATGCGCTGATACTCTTTATTTCCCGGGCATAACAGTGCTTCTGTACTAACCGAACAACATCTCTTTCTGCTGCAGAAATTTCGGCTAGGCTAAGAAGCCCCAGTGGTACCGACTGCTTTGTGATGTTATTTAACCGGTATCTAATAAACATTTTGAATCGAGACAGCCAAGCCACAGATTTCAACAGCTGGAGCCAGCTAGAGTACCTTCTGATCAACATATGTAGAGGGGGCTCTTCCGAGACCGCCAAAACTTGGGCTATCGTGCGTTTATGTTCCACACTATCTGGTGTAGGGAACGATTTTATAGATGCAGGCCACTGGAGTTCACAACCCCACAGGAATTCAGGCCCAGAGAACCAGTGCTTCAACCGAAGGCATGAAAACACGCCACGCGACAAAAGGTCGGCTGGATTGTCTTCCGACTTTACGTGCCCCCATTGATTTGGTGATGACACTTCATGGATAGCCGACAGGCGATTCGCGATAAACGTGCTGAATCTAGTGGACTGGTTATTTATATAATACAATACCACCGTAGAATCTGTCCAAAAAAGAGACTTCTCGAAATTAATCTTTGACCCTTGGGTCACATCTTCAAACACGCGGATGGCGAGCTTAGCCGCTGTTAACTCTAGCCTGGGAATGGACACGGATTTCAGGGGAGCAACTCTAGATTTCGCATACAGCAGACAACAATGTATACTTGTGCCTGAATTGCCGAAACGTGCATAGGCAACCGCTCCGTAGCCCTTCTCTGAAGCGTCGCAGAATATGTGAAGTTGTGGCGGCTGGGTTCCTTGGTAGCATCCAAGTACACATCTCGGTACCTTTATGGTACCTAATTCTCGCATTCCTGTCAACCAATTTTCCCATACAACTTCATCTGTTTGGTCGATAAGCTGGTCCCAGCCGAGTTTATCCTTACACAACTTCTGCAAGAGGATCTTGGCGGGCATGATACTTGGGGCAACCAAACCAAGGGGGTCGTACATGGAGGAGACTACGGACAAAATCGATCTTCGTGTCTTCGGCCCATCCTTTACTGCGAACCTGAACAAGAAGGCGTCCTCCACCGCATCCCATTCTATGCCTAACGTGCGTTGCACCTGTTTAGCTTCTCCGAGATACTTGATCGGGCTTGAAATTTCAGTGGCTGGCAAGGTCTCAAGCACCACCGCACTGTTAGAAACCCACTTTCGAAGCTTAAATCCAGCTTTGCCAAGTAATTCCCGAATTTGTACAACAAACTGTACCGCTTCATCGACACAAGGCAGTGAAACCAAACAATCGTCAACGTAAAATCCGTTCATGACGGCGTCTGACACACTTCTGTCATATCGATGGCCCCACTCTTCCGCTGTTCGGCGCAAGGCGAAATTGGCACAAAAGGGGGATGATGTCGCTCCAAATGGATGGGCGGTCATCTGATACTCCAGCGTATCTAATTCAAAATCACTGTCTCTCCACCACAAGAAACGCAAGGCACCACGATCATTCTCTGGCACCTTCACCTGCATAAACATTTCCTCAATGTCCGCAACCACTGCGACTCTGTTGTTTCTGAAACGCATCAGAACCCCTATGAGGCTAGAAGTGCTGTCCGGACCTTGTAACAATAGATCGTTTAGGCACAGGCCCTGGTACCTTGCAGCGCAATCAAAAACAACCCTCAGCTTATCGGGTTTTTTAGGGTTTATCACAGCGTGATGAGTTAGGTACCACCTAGGAGCATACTGGGATTCCAACTGATTTGATGGCACACGCTCCGCATACCCTTTACTGATGGTGGCCTCGATGGCCGCAGCGTACCTTTCACCGAATGGGCGGTTACTTATCAAACGTTTTTGCAAGCACTGTAGACGCCGGAGCGCCATCTCGTAATTATTTGGCATCCGGACCGTCGAATTTCTCCAAGGAAGACCAATCTCAAAATGACCGTTTACCAAATGCACCGAATTCTGGGCAATAGACAAGGCGGCGTTATCTTCTACTGAAAGCGCATGATCGCCTGTATCTACACGAGAAAAGTCGTTGTTGTACAATCTCTCTAACTGTTCTTCAACTGTCGGCTGACTAATATGGCAATAATGTACGGAATCAATGGCAGTTTTACCTTCTCCAACTGGGCCTAGCAACGTCCAACCGAGTAAGGTTTTCACAGCAAAAGGATGATTTCTATCCCCCAGACGTTGCTCTAAATGCCAGTGAGCTTCTGGCACGTTAGCACCTAAGAGTATTCGGATTCGACTATCCTGGATTTCCTCAAATGGGATATCCGCCATGTGTGGCCACTGGCGCGCCAACTCCCTCTTCGGGGTTATAACGGGTTCCAAGGGCAGTCTTGGCAAGCAGTAGGCATGCCTAACGGAAATGGAACCAGTGCCATCTAGGGATGACAAAGTGAAACCGACGCACCCCGCTTCGATCGAGGATGTGCCCGACATCGTCGTGAATTCCAAACGACTTGGTGTGACTCCAATGCCAGCTTCTTCCATAAGTCCTTCTTCTACCAAAGTTACATTCGAACCTGTATCTAATAGGGCATATGTTTCCAATAATCCTCTTTGGCTTTCTATACGCACTGGTACCACTCCCAAACACACCTGCTGCTGTGCAGTGATGGTAGCAGTGCAAGTGTTTGCTACTTTCGGTACAGTCACTTGTCTGGACTCTGAGTGAAGCAGTGGATGATGACGCCCTCTGCAATCAGGCACATTACATTCTTTACCATTTTGACAGGTGGCAGATCTGTGACCTGTTTCTAGACACCTGAAGCACCCACCTCTTGACTTCATGAGCATCCACCTGCTAGGAACGTCCAAAGACAGAAAACTACGGCACGAGGCCGTGGCATGTTCACTACCACAAGTCAAACACGCTGTTTTAGGAGAGGCACCTGACCAGGTGTAGAGGACGTGGCTGCGATCGTTTCGTCTGTTCTCTACTCGCGATAGTCTGGCATCCAAATGCTGTCGAGACGCATTTGACGAAGCGATTTGGCCGAATCTACTTCGCGCAACTCGGGATTCCGCGGCAACGAAATCAGCCAAGTCCTTGAAATCGACCTCCCGCCCATCATGCGTGATCGAATCTGCTACCCTTGCCCACCGGGCCTGAAGGCTGCTCGGTAAAACACGCACTACGCGTTCAATCGTTGCAATGGAATTCAAGTCCGCAGTAAAGTTCATCTGCGACAGAGCGATGTAACAATTTTCCATTTTCAAGGACAATTTAGACAATTCTTCTGGATTGGCAGAGAGTGGCCTCAAGCCAGTCATGAGACCGTCAATTAACGATCTGGCTACAACGTGGCTTTCTCCAAAGAGTTCACGAAGAATCTTTCTAGCTCTATCGTAGGCCACAGAGGGAGGCAACATCACACACTCACTGATGGCCTCCTTGGCATAGCCACGACAATAATGAATCAAATAAAGCAGTCGCTGGCCACTGTCCAACACGCGGTTTTCGATGTAGTATTCGAACTGCTTTACAAATTTCCAATACTTAGCAGGATTACCATCGAAATATTCCAGTTCAACCTTTGGCAGATCTAGCTGTAGGCACTGCTGTAACGCTAACCTACTCCGATTGGCTTTGTGATCGTACGCCTCGGATGCAGACAACTGACACTGATCAACAAAAGCTCCTATACGCCGATTCTTCTCACCAGAACTAGGGGCCGATATCACTTTAAGATTAGATTGGACATTGCCTTCTTCCAATTCTACTCGAAGATTGGCCATTTCTAATTCAAGGTCTACTAAACGCTTCTGCTTATCCAAATCTGACTGTCTTTTCCTTAATTCTGCTATAGTCATTACAGCGGACGAACGACGGGAAATAATACTATGCTCAATCTTATGGCTTACATGTGAACCAGAGCATGAAGCACCATCATGATATTCATTAGGGACTTGCCGGTATGCTGCATCTTCCATGGCATTTTCAGAGGTAAAATTCCTTGCAAACATTGTCCGATCTGATTGAGTGGGTTCCAATTCACTTCAAGACGTAAAGAACCGTCAAATTCCGGGAATCCAATTGAAATCCAACAAAATGCTGTTGAGTACGGCACTCGAAACTTCAAACTTCACTTCAAACGAGGAAGCAGTATTGAGTACTGTAAGCGACAATTCGCTTTGAAGGGCCTTGAGCCAACGCGTATCCAGCCAGTCAAAGAACAAGAACACTGGACAAGATGACGGTACTATTAACAAACAATCAGGAAGCAAATATAATACAAACCTCAATAGTTGCGCTTCCACTCAACGCAGTTTCAAAGAAAGACAATCCGGTCCGAGACCAACAAGAAAGGGTTCAGATCGTCAATGCGATACGGAATACAGAACACGTTATATGGGGCAAGTGAAGTCCATGCGATTGGTCAAACACAGACCGGCTGAAGGCCGGATGCGTGAAATTAGAGTGTGGGGGATGATAAGTACATTGCTCATAATCAGTGCGAGAAAGCATGTAAACACCTGTAGCTTGGGCACGTGCGGAGATAATTGAGGTGAAGGTCGTGTTGATAACGCGAAGATAATTGAGGTAAAGGTCGTGCTGATAACGCGATAATTGGGTTAAAGTGCAGTGATATGGCGAAGATAAGGGAAGATAATTGCACTCGGAGTAGTCCACTCTCGATTGTTGACAGATGGCTGAGTTGAACACAAGGCATCAAATTCTTCTACACATTCTATGGCGGGTTTCTCACGAGTGCGATCTCGGCGTGCTAGTTTAAGACGATCTCGGTTGTTTGAATCAGACTGAAAATGCATCTAAAAAGCAAACCAGTACCTCGTCCTTCTTCGCAGAGCTTTCGGGAACTTTGACCTTTAAGTCTTCCTAAAAATGCTTAGTGCGTACGTGAGGCCGCACGCGGAATACGCCATGCAAGCGTGGCAAACCTGGCTCAAGCACCATCTCACCGCGCTCGATACTGCAGAACGTAGGGCAACGAAGTTCGTCAGAGGTTTGACCAGCCTCCCCTGCCCACTCAGGCTGTAGACCCTCAAAATATACAGTGAACGTTATCGGCGTCTAAGGGGCGATCTCATAATGGAGTACTCGATCCAGACAAATCGCAACCACCCATGCCATCCCCTTCTGATACTCAGTCAAAACACCTCGCTAAGAGGTCATCAGTTTAAGCTGCTCATGCAATACAGCCGCCTGGAATGTCGGCAAAAGGTTTTCTCTCTTTGAGTGTCACAGCCTTGCAACGCTTTCCCAGAACATGTAATTAATGCACCCACCCTATCCCTTTCCAAAAAAATGTTTTGACGATACTCTGTCACATTTACACTACGTGCTATATCCTATGACCACCAGATGCTGGCACTAATGCAAAACAGGCAGTGGACAGTGCCATAACTCTACTCGAGAATGAGTCACTCCAAACGCCTTGCACGAAATTTGATAAACGCTACCACTATAGAAACTGGATTTCTGTATCCCGTCGATTTAAGATGGCTGCACACGAGTAAGCGTTGTCCTTGCTATTTTTGTTATTTTTTCTCTTCTATTACGTGATCAATAGCCACTCCCCTTATTGCTTTGTGTGCGTACATTCTCATTTCAAACTCCCTTTATACGACAGTGCAGTTACATCTGTAATCGCCCAAACTGACTACTCCATTATCCCTTGCTCTCTCTTTTTTGTCACGCTGAACACCCTACGGGACATGTCAAGCACCTGCTTTTTTCCCCGTTATAAATCATTGTTCATTGCTCATTGCCTTATATGCCCAATAACTGAAAGCTTGTTGCGACGCGTCTTAAGCTATCCCCGAAAAGCAAAAAGAGAACACAGTTCAAGTTATGTTGCACTCACACCTGCTGAGTGATATCGGATAGTAGCGTCTTAAGAGCAGTTAAAACTATCCTTAGTGGAGTTCCATTTAGTAACTCCAAGAGGTTTCCCTGTGATTGATATGTACAGGAGTTTGGGTGAAAATGCGCTCTATCTTTTGAATTCTACTATTATCTGAATCTACTAAAACCTGTGTTGCTGTTATTAGAGCTACCAAAATACTGCTAATCATTTGCCGATTAAAAGCGTAAACATCTGCCTTTTATCTAATTTTGCTGAGAAAGATGGGTATACTGAATTTGCAAACATACATGAATTTACGACCGTAATGCCTAGACAAGGTATATTTTTCCGAAAAGGAAAAAATATGCGTCATTTTCAAAAACCCCTAATAATTTCAGCGCCTTTGAAGGTAGCGACTTTACAACATCTATTGCAAATTGTAAGACAGCCGCTTGCTCTTCCGACATTTGGGTAGTGCATTGAAGTCCTACCCATTGGTAAGTTTTGAGTTCCATGCTCGGTAGGATAAAGCCGTGAGACTCCCACTAGTATACCGACTAGGTATTGCCTGAATCCTCTAAAAGAAGAAAAGCCAACTAAGACCTTATAACCTCTACATTCAAGTTCGTTCAACGCAGGATTTGTTACGTTCCGAAGATTTAGCGTCATGTAGGTGGATACCGAATTCACCTCCACGCCACTGTGAACACTGCTTCTTCCTCTCTGCTGTCAATAAGGGGTCGGAACGGTTAAGTGCGTTCCGTATACTACATATCCGCATTCCGATTTTCCCATATATTCGCCACGAGTCAGCCTACATCGTCTAAAATATTCATGTTTACTAGAGGGTTATCCAAAAGTGACAGTTGAAATTTCAATATTTTTTATTCCTAACATATTTTTTGCTAATATTATAGTGCCTATGTTAAGCAAAAACAAATTGCTAAGGAAAGGTTGTTTAGGTTGCTTAGTGCATGTCAACTCTGTGGTGTTTTCTTGTATCAATTTGTTGTCGATTTCAATTGCTTTCTTTTTCATGTGCTCGCGATCAGTGTGTGCGTTGCCACTGGAATACGTTTACGACTGTGCCTGCCGATCGGATGGAAGATGGAAATTGTTGCCTCAAAAAAGTTGAATGTGAAAGAGACGCATCAAGTTTATCCGTGAATCCGCCATAACACTGGACATTTCTGTATACATGAGTACCTTGATGATGTAGAAGTTTTCTGTTCATTTCATAGACAACTTTTCTTGATAGGTCTACAGTTAGCATTTTCTGGGCAAAAGTACGTGCACCTATGCAATGTTTACAGCTTTATATCAACTATGAGTGCAGTTTATATTCTTTTTCTTCTGCAGTCATTGCGAACGAATTTGCTTGCGTAATCTGTGCCAATGTGAGTAGCTGATTCACTTTTAAAGTGGCTTCATTTATACTTTGCAGTGAACAGCATACACACCGGAGCAATATGCGAATTATCATTCAGTGCGGAGAGAGCAACTGAAGCCATATGCTCAATCGTTCCAGCATGTCGTCGAAAGTGTAGAGCGCATGCTTCTTTGAAAGTACCCGGTAAAGGTAGCTGAAAAAATGGAGTAAAGTTAAAGAATTTCTTCACCGTCTGATTGTGCACAGGTTAGCTAACTGCACTTAAATAATAAATGGAAAACTTTTCGCACTTCTTTGCTTTGCATTTGTCTTTTAGCGATCAGATTTCCCTACTACAACCTTCAGTAGTCGTCGGAATAATTGATCGCCAATTTCGCATTATTGTCATCGTTTACGCATGCGTCCAAAGAGGAATGAGTTTTGTAAACTCTGAACGAGTATTTTTGCCGTGTTTTCACTAGTACATGCAATACTATTACCACTGATATTATCATCATTAATCATCCAGTCATAAAGTCTACCATAAATGCATGCAAAAGATGGACATCCATAATCTTACACCCTGTTAACATTGGGCTTCCCGAGCTGCTCATTGGGAGGTTGTGTTGTCAAATATAAGTTACAAACTCCACAGTTGCCGGCTTAAGCACTTGTGGGGCATTCAAACGTAGCACAATTCAATGGGTTTTGGAGTGCAACCGTGGTGTCATCCAAACGCCACCATTTGAGTTGTTCAAGTTGTTTGCCTTCGTATTCTTGACGGATTTCGTGATTTTAAATGGGCCGCTCAGCTAGTTTGTTAGAAGTTGCTCTTAGAAGCACACGCAACAGGGAAACATATTTTTGATGAAAATATTCTATGGTGATTTAAGTAACCGTTAAGAAACCAGTATTCTAGCAGGAAAATTAAAGTCGGGTGCCCGCAATAATAGAGGGGATTCCGCATTCCTAGCACCTTTACCGTACTAGTTACATGTCAATTGTAACAGTCAAATGACCTGCTGCCAAATGTACATGAATGGTATCTTCATACAATTTCATCGTAGTTCTAAGTAGTAATTCATCTTGGTAAAAAATAAGGAAAATTATCTGAGCATATTTGCCAACGTTCACTTGCTACTCGCATTCGTCGTTTATTTGTCCAGTTTTGTCACTCACAATTTTTGAATTTTTTTCAGTTTTGTTAGGGAGAGGAAGGCGGGACAGCTCAATACACCTATGCACACATCCGCTACCAACATCCGTCTTGAGCCATGGCTTCCAAGGTATGCAAGTAGCAATTATCCGCATCTCTCGGACCTCAACCAGGTAGTCGACAACAACCGGCCGAGGCCAACTGTTTCGTCAACTTTTTCATGCGGTTTCTCCATGTTGTAGGCTGTCCACCAGACCGTCTCTTCCAGCCCTGCCCAGCAATCGCAAACAAAGCACGACAAGGGTAACGCTAGACAGACATGCGCAATACTAGTCCCAACCCCCGCACTTGATGCAGTGAGACGAGCTCCTCGAGCAAGTGGCTTCATCATCCCATACACCCTGTCTAACTTCCAAATTGCTTACATGGTGCCGCCACCACCCAAAGGCAATGGACCGCAGATAGCGGTGTTCGAAGACGGATGGTCTGCGCAAGTCACTTTTACGAATGAGCCAGGTCTCACATCCCTACAACAGTATAGCACTAACAGTTGCCTTTTGATGGAGAGACGAATGTCGTGGCGACGCCACAAGTGCCTCAGCCTAGAAAAAGCAAGGTTTTGTCTGGAGATGCGCATCAAAATCTCGTCTCCAACAGCCCCGCCAGCAATGATGCAACTTCCCAAGTAGACAATGCTCTCCGAAACCTCCAGTGTCTTACCACCAAAAGTGAGTGCAAACACAAGCCCCTGCCAGACATACATTAACGCGACCCTGGTGGATGTTATAAAAATGTGACCCCTAAGAGAATTAGACTTTAGTGATTGACTAAAGTGAGCAGATTTCAACTGCGCCTATAACCAGGAATTGCATTAGACGATTCATGGGATACAACTTGGAGGATAGACCAGGATTCAGTAAAAAATCGATTATGCGCACGCCCACATTGTATTTTCGTTAGAGGATGAAATTGGCGAAGTAAGGATAAAAC